GAGGTTTAATCTTGTTGTGAAGCTTGATCAACTGCTGTAAACCGAAACGCCATGATAATAATCCAAATGCATATGATCAATTTTTCTCAGCAAGCTCTTCTACCTCGCTCATCGTTGAAGTCCTGCGCATTCTATAGGGCTAATGTCCATACTTGTTCGGTTTTCATAAACTTTTCTGGATTCAAATCTATAGCCTGTGATCAAGCTGCGATAATATTGCGTTTATATTTTAGTTCACTGATCAGTTCTAATTGAGTGACCTTCTCCATTTTGCACCACCATAGACGGCGTTTTGTGTAGAAAAATTCACGAGGTAAATTGTTCGAACTTTACCGAATTTTGCTTTGATTCATTATATTTTGATTAGTATCACTTCGTTTGTAACGTAATGCTGTGAGGTGAATAGATAGGATTACATCTCTTGTTGTGTTGTTGATGTTATTTAAATGGTTATTTTCACTATCAAGTGGCTGTAATGTTACTTGAGTACTTGCTTTTTTATCTTAACACGTGTCGATGTCACACATGACTGTTTTGTATGCTCCCCAGTTAACATGATCATGGTCTATAAATGTACATATCGATTGCATTGCGCAACCTTGTTTCTCAGAACTGAATGACTTCAGCCGTTTAAAGATTCTGCTGAGATGCTATGATTTTTGCTTTACTCTCGTTCGCACTGCTCATGTGCGCCACTTTTTCCGAGGCAAAGGAAGATGAAGCTATGGTCATTTTAATTCATGATAGCGCCTTATGCAAGAGATCTGACTCCTTTACGATCAATGATGTCCTGTATTGGCGTTACATAAGAGAAGTGATCGCTAAATGTATGACTCTTATGTAATTCTATATCACACTAAACATTTCCCCTCAGTGTTTTCAAAATAACAAAAAAAATTAAAAACTAAACTGTTTGGGTTATCTCTCAGAGTGGGCTACTGCGGAAAGATGCACGCATTATTCTGCACGTCAAATGTATGGGCATAAATAATGCTTTAAACGAGCGACCGTACACCACGAAATGAGCAGTTCGTTATTTTTTTTTTCCTACTATGCACTAGATTTAGTTAGAAAATGTAATTGGTCGGCAGCAGAAATTAACATACGTCTGAAGTTGACATGATAACCTAATGTTGGGTTATCATGTCGAGTTCAAAGTCTGCCTAGTTTCCAAGCCCCTCGTCCAAGTAGTGTTCTCAAACTTTTGCGAACTCAGAGAGGTGTCTTCTTTTGCAGATTGTTTAAAACTTTTGTAACAAAACTTTTATTGAATTCAGTTTCGCATGATATGATGAATTTATCAAACTTCGTGCCTGTTATCTGCCTCAGCCTTCGGTTTCGGCAGATGACTCAGACCTCGGTTTTGATTATTCATGATATGTAATATTTGCTTATCATTATTATTATTATTATTATTATTGTTATCATTATTATTGTGGGAAATAGTAGTAAATGCTTTTGGAAAGTGCTCAGTACACACGAGTGTAGAGCGAAATACAGTTCAAAATGACTAAAATGAAACACGCATGATTCCCTGTTACTCTGAGTTTCGTGCTTACGCACTCATCAGATAGATTAAATTGTCTGACGAGTGCGTAAGCACGAAACTCAGAGTAACAGGGAATCATGCGTGTTTCATTTTAGTCATTTTGAACTGTATTATCATTATTATATTCTCAACGAAACGCCGGCGATCTTTATAGGCTCTAAGTGCACTTTACCCAATGCCAATTTATTTTATTAATTTATTAATTTATTTTCCAATGGTTTGGAAAATGCACGCATGTTTACTTTGACTGATGGATCGTTTGAACGTTGATTGTGACAAACGAACCAAGCTTTATCGACTTCGAAGTATTTCAAAAACTAAATGTTTTATTCATCTTTAAAAGCTTGAATTTTGAGGTCGTGCAATACAAAAATTCTGTTTTCCACTTTCTTGCATCAGAGTTGTCATATATTCTAGGCTGAGAACTGTAAGCTCACTACGGACACATCGTAGTCACGCCTGTAAGCTTATTTAATCTTAATATCTTAAACAGACAGGGTTTCTTGAAGACGGGAAGTAATGGACACGTTTTAAGTTATTCTCTCTACTGGCAATGTTAAAAAATTTAGCAGTTTTTACGTGGCCACTTTTAAGAAGGGTCTAATCAAGCAAGCTTACGCGTTTAAATATTCTTTTTCTGCCTTAGGTTTTCTATGGCTAGCGCAGCAGCGACAGGTTCCTCAACCAAGGAGACTACGAACTACGCTCGCTTGTGTCGTCTGCTGGTTGATATTGGTACCCAGGCCCTCAGGGACACATTTGATACCATCCATCCACCAGCAAATCTTCACACAATTTTGACGGCCAATAAAACCACCTTACAGTCTTTAAGAACAAGAAAGGTTATAAACGCGACGCAATGGGGAATGCTTTTTCCAGCCATCCCTACTTCAGTTTCATCGGCCCATTTTGACATCACACTTTTAATGGTTCTGCTGCGAAACATATGCGGCTTACCTTCTCCCGCTGCGGGCTGGGATACACTTTCTGCTGCAACAGATGTGAGTCGTGAAGCTGATATCACTCGTGTTAAATATTACAGAAACTTTGTGTACGGTCATGCCGAGTGTGCTTCAGTTGACGACTCAATGTTCAACATATATTGGGGTGACATACGGGACACTCTGGTGAGGCTTGGAGGGGAAAAGTACAGAGCATATATTGACAAACTTGAAACTGAGTGCATGGACCCTGAAGTTGAAGAACACTGTAAAGAACTTCTCAGCCAGTGGAAGAAGGATGAAGAAAACGTCAAAGATAAACTAGATGAAGTCATCAAAAAGCTGGATGATTTGAAAACATCAAGTTTGCCTCGAAAGAAGGAATCTGCAATCGAAGGTTAAGGAAGCTTCAGTTTTACTACTTTTGCCTGTTCAAAGTTTGTTTATGGTCCTTTTACAATCTAATTGGTTTTCTTACGGAAAAAAAACCCTACAGTTTTATGATATTTTAACATCACTCTTTGGAATAGAACTAGAAGAGAACACTCCATAACTCGCTTAATACTTCTTATGTAAGCAAATAACTAACATTTACATCGAATTTTTTATTTGCATATTCATAAGGTGAGTCCACTGTGCTGGAGGGGCTGTTGGAGAACTCTGCGATGTGTAGAGAAAAAGGCCATGAGACTGAACCTCTGGATCGCTATTGTAACAACTGTAAAGTTTCCATTTGCGACAGGTGTGGAGAGACTCGTCACACTCATCACACCAAAGTTAACATCCAACAGGCTACTGAGGAAGAGAAACTGATGTTGGAAGAGACTGTAGAACAAGTGAAAATGCAAATTGTTGACCTTGAGATGCAAATGAAAACAACGACAGAACTTTTGACAGTAAGTAAGGAAAAAATCGCCAAAGCTCGTAAGAATGTTTGGACGACTATTGAAGAACTCATTCGTGTATTAAAGGAGCATGAAAGGACCATGTTGACCAAGTTAGACGTTATTGAAAAAGCACAACAGAGAGATCATTCAACTCAATTAGAACACTTGCAGGCATCTGTGAACGAGTTGAAAAGTTATGTGAAGAATTGCGAGGAAGTCCTCCGGAAAAACGTCAGCGTCGAAATTCTACAGGCACATCAGGCTGAAATTGAAAAGTGTAAAGGTGTTGTAAAAGTAGCGAAAAAGGAGATTTATAAGCCATGCCACCTTCGCTATCAGACAGATGAGGAGTACCATAAGAGGTTGACAGGCTCTGCTCCTGGTAAAGTCCTTGTTAGTAAAACCGATCCCTTAAGATCATTTTTAGATTGGTATGACTCGAGAATAACTGAGGCCGGAAAATCGAAGAGGTTTGACATCATAACAATGGATTCAGATGGGGAAAAGTGCTTCCAGGAAATCGATGAGATCAAAGTAACAGTTCATAGTCCAACGGGAATGGAACTCGACCTCAAGTCAGATCTCCGGTCATGTTGGAATTATGGTTTCATACCACTCTGTGACGGAGAACATGAGATCACAGTTTCAGTCAACGATCAACCGCTTCCTGATACTCCCTGGAGGCTTCATGTGGTTCCATACCGGTATCAGTTCTCCGAAAAATTCCAGCCACGTAGAAAAGCTTCGCAATTCAAAGAACCCTGTGCTGTTGCAATAGACACTAAGACAGGGAATTGGGTAGTAGTTGATCGAAAGAAAAAAAGGGCGCAAATTTTTGAGTCTTTTGAGCACGATCCTAAAGAACTTGGTCAGTGTGAAGCAGTGCTGACAGAGCCCACCTCAGTTGCATTCACTCAATCTGGTGATGTCATGGTCATTTCCACCGGTGCCATGATTTGTTTTACTGCTAGTGGCAAATTTATTGCGCAGATCAACAACAAACACTTGAAAGTCCCATTCTCACTGACTGTTGCATGTGATGGCCGCATGGTAGTGTGCGACTCAGGTGACAGGTCCGTCAAGGTCCTTTCCCCTGATGGGACAGAATTATTACAGTCCTTCAGTGCTCCAGACTGTGACGACTCTCCATGGGAGGCTGTTTGTCACCAAGACATGTTCTTCGTGTCTTATCCCGAAGCTGGTTGCATTAAAAAATTTAACAATGTCGGGGACTTTCTTTATGATATTGGCGATGAAAAATCAGGTAAAAAACAATTGAGTAAACCTCGTGGACTTGATGTCGACGCCTTTGGCAATTTGATTGTTTGTGATGCAGAAAACAAGACTTTGAACTTTTTCAAACTGGAGGGCAAGTTTTTAAAGAGGATTCAGAACAACCTGCTCGACTGCCCTTGGTCTATTGCTGTCAGCCCAAGCACTCTATTGCCACAGCTTATCATAGCTGATCCGGTCAAAAAAAGCGTCATAGCCGTTTGGTAACTGCAAATATCTAACGTTCTTGGTAAACAATTGCCAGTTCCCTTTTAAAATCACTTCAGTTAGTCGTCCGACACAAAACTCATTTTCAATGCCTTTGCTCTCTCTGTCATTAGCCCGCGAAAGCAGAAGCCGTATTCTGGTTTTTGTTCCAAGGAGAAAGCTAAAACTGAAATCCACCTTCCTTCTCACGGTGGAGGATGTCCAATCATATACCCTGATTAAAATCCCACTCTGATTCCTTGTTAAACGCAGATAAACCTTATTTTTTAGCTTCTAATTATCTCTTAGAATGAATATTTTTCATTTAAAACTTAATTTTTTACCGAGTGTGAAAAAATTCGTTATACTATAAAGTTGAGTAAAGGATATATGATATGTCCCTTGATGATCTGAAATCCATTTTTCTAGAAACTATAGCAATTCTTTTGTACGCTGAGGTCGAGAGCTATCGTAGATGAGCCATTTTATGAAGCGGAAGGAAGAATTCCGAGGACTATTTTTAAATATGTCGAAATTCAGTTTGATAGGCTCAGTTGAACGCAACGTTAAAGTACTGGTTAGAGAGCTAGTCTAAGGGAAAATTGTAGCCGTTATTCTCATTGGTACTTCGATTTCGTATTTGAGCGATTTGAAAGATGAAAGTGATTTACTTCTTAGCCCCATCATAGGCACAAACAGTCGCATCCCGATGACTCGAACATTCCAATGAAATTGAAGAAGAATAGTTTTATATCTGATAAAGTTTTAAGCACTTTTCAATGCTTAGTTTCAGTATTACAATAAATAAAAGAAAATATTTGGGGAACTCAGGTTTGTTTCCTGAACGTAGATGAAAGGGCTACCGATTTCCAACAAAAGTATATGAAAGGGATACCTTTCTAGCCAAAAACCATGATGATTTTCCTGGTCCTTTGACATAATTCCTTTACAGAACCAAATAAGGCATAGGCCACAGCCACTATTTTGCGTTTGTTCCTTTTTCTTCTTTTTTTCTTTTCATTAGCACAAATCATTACTACTTGCAGGGTTCCTCAGGGATCAATTCTAGAACCCAATTTGTTCAACCTTTACGTGAATGACATGGGGGAGGGGGGGGGGGGGGGGAGAAGGCGATAGGAAATGGGTGAGGATACTTGTCGTACCTTTCAGGGATAAAAATCAGTGATCTGGTACCTATTACGGTGTCTCATCAAACTTAAGTGGACTACCAGAGACCCAGCTGGTACCTTTAAGGATGTTTTTCGCTCAATAAAATACCTGAAATAAGCACTTCTAGGACGATTTTAAAGATCTGACTTGAGCCTCTGGAGCACATCGATAAAGGAGTTCTTATTTTTGGGATTTTTCAATTTTTTTGTGTTTAAATTGGTACTTTTTAGGGGTAGATATCAGTTGTTGCCACTCCCACACGGATAAGACTCAGGTACCTTTTATAATTTTATAGGGGTCGTTTTCGAAATTCCCGGCGCGTATCCTTGCCCTGTTATGTATAGGGGTTCCCCGGGGGGTGCTGATACTTGCAGCACACTTGAAATTTGGCAAGGACAAATTTTGATGTGACTTTCGGTGAAGAGAAAAAAGTTTTGTCAGCGTCTTTTAGCTACTGCGGAAGGGCCCTTTACCACTGTGTGCTTAATTAAGCGTCCCGCCAGACGGCCGTAAGCCTACAAAGTGCTCAGAGATTAGTATAGAAAACTCCGCCTCCGTCTGGATTTTGGTAGCCTATTGACAAATTCCCAATCGAGGCCTAAGTCTGACGGGACGCGTAATTTTGCACAAGGTGGTAAGTAGCCTACTTACAGGAGCCATGTTATATGAATTTTCCAGACGTCTTGCGTACTATCTGTGGTACACGCTTGCCAATTCCCCAATAGGCATTTGGAATCGACTCAACCCTACCTTTACCATGGCCGTACACTTCTTTAGGCACTCTACATCGACTAATGGAACCACGAATCCACCCAACACCGGTACCGAGATTTGAGCTATGAGTAGGGAAAATTGTAAAATCATCGATATCTTTTGGCGTCTTGAAGATGCCGGCTCGCGACAAAATAAGATCAACTTCAGTTTCTGGATCTCCGCAAATAACTTGAAATGTCTTTTTTACAACTACGCAAGGGAACGACCAGAGATATGGAACGTCGGTTTTCTCGATAACTATACCCAAAAGTCCCATTTTTAGCATGTAAGATGAGACGCTTATACAACAGATCAATTAGCTAAATCAGTATGTAGCTTGTCAATCGAATTGACTTTTGTAAACATTCTTTGACTTCCGCTGGCAAAGGAATCATTGATGGATCTAGACATTTTAGTTTTCTGAATACAGTAATTCTTGGAAGGTTTTTATAGATATGAAAAGAGGGAAAGAAAAACCCATCTCTTGGCAATTTGGAAGGTGATTCATCTTTGAATTTGTATGTGTCACGCTTGTCATGCAACTAATATAATAGTGTGGAGAAGATTTCACAAACTGCAAATTAAATCTGGCTAAAATGTGGTAGAACATAACTTGGTCATCGAAACAGCTAATAAAATCATAAATAAACAAGGTAAGAGTGTCATGTTAGATTTCTTTACAAACTGTGGTGATTTATGCCAGAAAACAGTGGCGACAAGAAGGCACACCATGTTTATTTCATAGTCGCTAGCAAGTAAATTTCGCCGGACTTTGAGTTCGTCTCACGATAGAACCACACAAATACACAAGGAAATTTTTACAGTAACTTTATAACCATCCTTTTGTCTTTAAAAGCTAGAAGCTCAGTAGATTCTGTCATATCGGTCATTGTTAAAACTGTCTTTGTTTTGATGCTACTTTTTGACATAGAAAAAGTATGTCGGACAAAAATATTCACCAAAGAATAAATATTTCTTTTCCAGCTTCAGTAATGACAGGAGGTTAAGTGTAGATGATAAAACAAAGGATTATGCCGACAGAAATACCGGAGGTCAAGTAAATTCGTTATATGAGGCCACACAACTCGGGTAATATTCAGGGTGAAAATTTGCATATTTGAGCGGTCGACCGAAAAGTATCATTTCTCGAAAACTAAAACGTATTTTCACCAAAAAACTACACCACAATTATTAGGACATATTGGGCTACAAAATATGAAAGTAGGAGAGAAAACGAATTTTGGGCGACTTGCCACAGTATATCAAATTTGTTCGATGGATGTTGACATCCTCTCTTAATTGCTTAACACTGCTTTTAAAGCCTTGTATTATAATGACTGGCCGTCCCATCTTAAGCTAGACATTCATAATCCAACACGGACACTGAGATCTTCGAAAGAAACGACGTTAAAAGTACCCTTTGAGCCGGGTTCTTTCCAGGACAGTACCTCTAATGTTTTCAATTCATTACCCTCTGCTGAAAGGAACTCTGGTTTTTTTGTTTTTTTTTTAATAAATAAATGATCATTTTACTTTTTAATATTAATGTAAATTTTTACAGATGAAGAGCCACCTTTCAGTGGAAATACTCTAATAAAGTCATTATTATTATTATTATTATCATTTATCCCAGTGGCCACGCCACGCAGCGTTGTTCCTTTCCCTAAATTAGCAAACCTCTACGCCGTTTAACATTTTAAACATGAAATCTTCAGCGTCCAGCAATATGCCATGGACTTAAGAAGCATCTCGAAAGAGCCCCTTAAGTGGAAGACCAAGTCGGCCGCCATATTGCTACACTCACCCTGGCTCTTACTTAATATCCAGTTCCCCGGACTATCATGCACTTCCAGTCTGTACATTATAAGAAACTCCTACCTTCTGAAAAAATTTCCAAAGAAAAGGAAAGTTGTCGTGAAAGAGTGGGTAGAGAGCTACAGACCAGTGAGCAGAGGACTGTCAGAGCAAAAATCACAAAGCAAAAAGTAGGTGCACTACCCTCCAGCAGCTTACGCACAGCCCAAACCTCTTGTAGAACGTAGAAAGGTTCTTTCGCAAGATGACTGTGAGGGAGACTATGAGTCTCTTAATTCCATGGCCGCAAGTGAGTTTTTTGTCCAACTCTAAGATTTGCCGGTTTGCGACATAGATTTACCACAGTTCCTCACTCCACTACGTCAAGAGGAGAATGGATACGCCTCAAAATAGTTAATAATTTTCAATTGTCACATGATGAAGAACTTAATATGAGATCAACACTGAGACCCTTTTATACACACACAACAAGAGGTTGGCGTGAAAACTTCAGCTGATCTTGATAATTGCGATCTGGAGGTGCAATATAGGCTCGAGGTTATCAGCAAGAACTTTATTCCAGAAGTTGTTTTAAATTGAACTTCAGCTACCTGTTCACTAATTACCTGTGATCAAGTTTGCTTGCGTGACAAAGTTAAGCTTCGAGATCCCTCACTAGCCAATCAGTGGACTAGTACATAACTTGACATTGTGACCACGCAATCGATGGAGAGAATGACAGTGAAAGATCCTTAAACTTCAGTTCATCCAAAGGATAAGAATTTGTCATTCTCGTTAGTGAAAACCTGTGGCCACTCAACGATCGAATTAGCCCTCCTGAAGCCTGTAATCGTGAGTAAGAGAAAAACTTAATCAGCAACAATTAATAACCTCGACCAACTTCCTGTTTGTGGAGAGCTTACCGTGATTTCATCTAATTGTTGATTAGGATTTCTAGGTTTGTTTGTTGGTTTTTTTTATGCCAATTTTCAATTCTATTTATTCTACAACTCATTTTGTTGTCTAACATTTCAGTCTTGTATACGCTTGGGTCTGTGCCATATCATACTTGATGTTCGATGGACATCTACATCTCGTCGTTGATCCATCGGCATGGCATTTCTAAATTGTAAATTGTCGACAGACTATTCAAATGAGTTCGCCAATACTGTAAATCAAAGAGTGAATCTTACAAGTTTTCTTCGAAGATCTCCGGGAACCCAGTTGACATTTACGAAAAAAACAAAAATCAATGCCCATTCGAAAGGGGTTTATTTACAATTGTGTTAATTTGATCACCGCCGATCATAGTCCTGAGAACAATCATTGCACGCAAGCAGACACAATCGTATCAAATCGGTTGCCATTTCGTCCATAGGACTGCATCGCAGTTTTCTCGCATTCGATGCAATTTTGGTAATTTTCTTTCCAATTTTGCCGTAACGATGAAAACTCTGGATAGTAGTCGTTTTACGGTATTAACATGAACATGCACTGATCGTAAAACCAATACTATAGGATAGATTGTCGCGCCTTACTGGCTGAGTGATTTTGTCTAATTACCATATATTTGATGTTTTTGCTTTAAACATGAGAACCAAAATGACGACACTGAACGAGTTTGGTTGCTCATTTGAATTTTCTCCACGTTCCCCTAAAAAATGATTTTAGGAGTGGAGTCCTCGCAGACGCTCAGGAACACGATAGAAGCTTAAAAAGATTCTTTTCTGCCTCAGATAGTCCATGGCTCATGCAGCGCCAACAGTTTCATCCACAAAGAAGACAACGAACTATGCTCGCCTATGTCGCTTGCTGGTTGATGCTGGTACCCAGGCCCTTAGAGACACATTCAATGCCATCCATCCACCAGCGAATCTTCAATCAGTTTTGGCAGCCAATAAAGTAACTATACTGTCCCTGAGAAAGAGAAAGGTTATCAACGCAACGCAATGGGGAAAGCTCTATCCTGCTATTCCATCCTCAGTGTCTTCCAGAGACTTTGATATCACACTTTTAATGGTTCTGCTTCGAAACCTGTGCGGCTTACCTTCTCCCGCGGCAGGCTGGGATACACTTCCTGCTGCAACAGATGTGAGTCTTGAAGCTGATATCGCCCGAGTCAAATATTACAGAAACTCTGTGTACGGTCATGCTGAGTGTGCTTCAGTAGATGATGCGACGTTCAACACATGCTGGGGCGACATCCGGGACACTCTAGTGAGACTGGGTGGAGCGAAATACAAAGCAGCCATTGACGATCTTGAAACAGAGTGTATGGACCCTGAAGTTGAAGATCACTACAAAGAACTTCTCAGCCAATGGAAGAAAGACGAAGGCAATGTGAAAGATAAACTAGATGAGGTGATCGGAAAGTTAGTTGAATTGAAAACATCAAGCATGACTCAAAAAGAGAAACCTGAAATTGAAGGTCAGCATCTTTTAATGCTGTTTTTTTGTTTCTTTGATTTTGTTTGTTTGCGGGGTTTTTCTTCTTTCTTCGTTCTTTCGAGAATATATACTGATAATTTATCGATAAACACCGCCATAAAAGAAGAAAACTATCCTGGGGGAAAAATTTTAAGAACAAAGTCTGGCCTGTTCAAAGTTTGTGAACCAGCTTTCGAGAGTCAGTAGTTGAGGATAGTAAGTGCTACAGGTCAGGCATTGCGCAGAGTCTCAGTCAATAGAGTGGTTCGTACGTCGATGATGTTAAGCTATGTGGTTGTTGACACCACTAGTTATCGTCATTCGTTTGTGTTCAGTCAGTCTTGTTGTGAGGTTTCTGTCAGTCTCTCTGATGTAGGAGGCGTGGCAGTCTGAACTGTTGATCCCATAAATCGCTCCCTGTCTGTTCTTCGGTTCGTCCTTGTCTTTGACGTTTGTTAGTGACTGACATTGTGTAGTGATGGATTTGTAGACGACACAGATACTAAAGGGTTGTAGGACGGGTCATATGGTTTCATACATGCCCTTTATGCCCAGCAGAGTCACTTTAGTCGTTGCGCTATCGTTTGTTTTAGGAGTTACTGGAGATCAATGAGTGTTTCGTCGATTGAGGTCGTCGTTCTATTTGTTTTTTTCTTTTTTAAACAATGTCAAGGAATTTCTTCTCGTCGGATAAGCTGGCTGTCGTTTGCAAACTAGTTGCTTTGGTCTCGGCTTTGTGTGATGTTGGCCGACATCACTCGCCGAAAAGACAGAGAGGGTTTGGTCCGGCAATTCTCTCAATTTATTCACCCCGGTAAATGATTATAGCTCCAGTAACATTGAGCAAATCAGTAAAACAATACGGGGCAAAAATTCAAACCATGTAGCTATTGATAAGCGTGGCCTTCTTCTCGGGCCCGGACCTCCTAAGGTTCTTAACACTTACCCACATGTGTCGACCACAGATGCCGAATTTGTTCTAATTACATATTAATTATTTATAATAATATACAGAGGAAAGTAACCTTCAGCTGAGGCTTTTATTTCCTTGTTTTAACAGAAGGTAAACCACTTGTGTCGAAAGACCTGGAGAGCTCTGCCAAGTGTAAAAAGAGACATAACGAAACCGAGCCACTCGATTACTACTGCACGGACTGCAAAGTTTGCATTTGCGACAAGTGTGGGAAAACTCGTCACACTCATCACACTAAAGTGAGTATCCAACAGGCCACTGAGGAAGAAAAACTGAAGATGGTGGAGCTTGTGGAACAAGTTAAAATACAAATTACCGAGTTTGAGTCGAAAGTGGAAAGAATGACAAGACTATTTGCAATAAGCAAAGAAAAAATATCTGCAGCTCGTAGTTTAGCGCAGACAACTGCTGAAGAACTCATTCGCGCCTTAAAGGAGCACGAGAAGTGCGTTGTCAACGAGTTGGACGTCATTGAAAAAAGACAAGAAAGAGATTATGCAACTCAACTAGAAAGCATGCAAGCGTCTGTCAACGAATTGAAATGCTCTGTGGAAAATTGCGAGGATATCCTTCAAAGAGACGCCAGCTTTGAAACTCTACGCACACAAATTAATGACACTAAAAAATGTAAAAGAGTTCTGAAAGAAACAAAATTGGACATTTACGAACCCTGTCATGTACACTACCAATTATTTGAGGAGCACATTCGAGTAATGAAAGGTAGATCTCCTGGCGAACTACTGGATAGCAATACAGATCCTTCAAGGTCGTATGTGAGAGATAATGACCTAAAACAACCTGAAGCTGGGCGAACAAAGGATTTTGACATCGTTACAATTGATTCAGAAGGAGAACAGTGCTATCATGAAATCGATGAAATCAAAGTGACAGTTCGGAGTCCGACGGGAATAGTCCTCGACAGCAAGACTGATAGCTGGGTGCCACGTGGGACATACAGAGTAAGGTACACACCAGCATGTGATGGAGAACATGAAGTGACAGTTTTAGTGAATAATGAACCACTTTCTGGTAGTCCGTGGAACGTAAGCGTGACGCCGCATAAATATAGTTTCTTTCATTACTTTGGATCACCAGGTAAAGCACGCAAACAATTCAAAGATCCCTGTGCTGTTGCAGTAGACAAAAACAAAATGACGATAGCAATAGCTGATCGAAAGGAACAAAGAGTGCAACTGTATGATTTTTGTAATTCTGAGCATCTTACAGACCTCGGTGAGAAGGGGTCAGCGGCTATAAGACTAACAAACCCCACCTCTGTCGCATTCACCCAATCTGGTGACGTCATTGTCGTTGCCTCTAGTATCATGTTTTGCTTTGCTGTAAATGGTAATTTTCTTGGGTGTATTAACAACAAAAAACTCAAGCGTCCGTTTTCATTGAGTGTAACCAGCAATGGCCGCCTCCTGGTGTGCGATAGCGGTGACAAGTCAGTCAAGGTCCTCTCTCCTGATGGGACAGAATTGTTACAGTCCTTCAGTGCTCCAGACTGTGATGGCTCCCCGTGGAAAGCTGTTTGTCACCAAGACATGTTCTTCGTGTCTTACCCTGAAGCTCGTTGTATTAAAACATTTAATAAGGACGGGGACTTTCTCTATGATATTGGCAAAGAGGATGCACGCGAAGGACACTTGAGTCAGCCTCGTGGACTCGCTGTTGACACCTTTAACAATCTAGTGGTTTGTGACGAGAAAAAAAAGACGTTGAATGTCTTCAAACTGAATGGAACATTTTTAAACACAGCCACTGAAAATAATGTCCTCAGCTGTCCTTCGTCTATTGCTGCCCTCTCAGCTAATGAATCCCCATGGCTTATCATTGCTGATTCCAGGAAAAAATGTGTCATAATGTTTGACTAACTGACATAATCAATTTTTTATTAGAATTTTTAGTGTTCTGATTGGTTCATTCAGTCTTGTCTATGTTTACCCTATGAACTTTGAATTGACGATACATGGTAAATGACTTTACCGGGTTTCGTTGAGTTAATTTTTCTTTCTTTTTGCGGAAAGAGAACATTTCTATAGAACGTATTTGAGCAAGACTAAAAGCGACGTATTCGACTTGGTCTGTTGCTCCCGGCCGAAGCACTCGATGGTTTGTCGTTGCTGATCCCAGCAAAAAGGAGGATACCCAGTCATTGACCTTGAACAAAATCTCCCTTTAATTCCTTTTCAAACCCAGATAAACCATAAGCTGCCTTTATTATTTCTTTTTTAAAATCTAATAAGGTAACCGTTTAAATTAATCGAAGTGTGACATAAACGCTTTGCTGTAAAGCTGGTTGAAGGAATAGGTGTTTTCCAGACCCGTAGCTCGATTATGTGGAAGCCATATTTCTATTAACTGTCGGAAATATTTTGTACTTATTAGTCGAGAGCTATGACTATTGACAGTCTGTCAGTCATATTATAAAACAAGAGGAAGTACCAAGAATATTAAGAAGCTGTTGAAAGTCAGTTTAATTTTATCAGCTCAAGTCAACGCCACGATAAAGTACTCTTTTAGAAAGCTGGAAATTTAAGAGAGGTTAGACGTTGATCTTCTAATCCGCACTACACTTTCTTGTTATAATGATTTTAAAGATAAAAAATAAGACAGAAGTATATTCCGGTGAGTTACATTTTCTATTACGACGCAATTTTTAAGTGCAGATTTTCTGAAGTGAAGATAATTTGGTAAAAACCACAATCTGAGAGATACTTCTTGGCCACTTCAATATATGTTGGGTAACGTGTACTCTACATGATATATTCTGGACCAAGACAATTAACAATATTGAAGAAAAAAAAAGTTTAATAGTCAATAAAAACTGCTCCACAGTTGAATTGATTCCAACAGCTTGTACAACAGAGAGATGAATTATCTTTTGAGAAATATATGGGTACAGAGAAATATACTGAGATAGGTAAAAAAAAGAGACTATACTTGAGATAGGTAAAAAAAAAAAAAAGAGGCTATTCTTTCACCCATGTAGTCTCTTTGCTTTTTTATCTATCTCAATATATATCACACTCTACTTCTACGTAACGAGCACTGTACAACGGAAAAATCAAAACACAGACTTCCAGGTATAGAGAAATATATATAAGGAGTTGGTGACCTCCTTAACTAAGGCCAGATGGGGAAGTTTGTAGTTGTCATCAAGATTAACTGCTACATTCCAACCTAGTTGAACTCCTTCAAAGTTATCCACCTCTGTCTCAGTAACTTCAGAAATCTGCCTTTGATAAGCTCCACTATACACCTGCATGTAAACAAATTATAAAGTCAATTTAACAGCATGACCATTCAGTTCAAAAGACAATAAAGTTAAAGTTTTTGGATAGGCAAGTATGTGTTTAGTCACATCAAGAAAAATTTATTTATGGCTGACTCCATTTGAATAAAACACATGATGGAAAGGTTGGATGGGCACATGCACTTCAGGGAAAATAGCTAAGTTTGCATGAGTAGGTGGTTTGAATTGAGCACACATTGTATATATTTTGAGCATAAATCACCTCTTGCTCAGGAGTAACTTGAGTTCTGACCATATCATCCACATCCTCAGGGACACCTTCAGGTTTTTGCCCTATAAAATCCAGACCAATTCCATCAGCCTCTAATTGTTGTCCTTTGCAGTGGATGCCATTTAGTATTTTCAAGGTCAAGAAGTGATGCCCAATCTTCTTTATGATGTTCAAGAAACAGTCTTGTTCTGTAGTACTTTCCAATGTCTGTTCTGAGCCTTTGAAGCTCAAGCTTCTCTGTATCTGGAACAACATAATCTTGGGGGGGAAGGGCATCTTCATTAATTTCTGTATCCATCTAACATAAACAATGAGAAGCAGACTTAACAAACTGTAGCACAAGAACTCCTTCTAGAAATTTGGAATTTAAAGGACATGAATTAGACAGTACAGAATGACATGACTACAGACCATGCATAAACTAGCTGCAGTAACTTACAATAATCACACAGTAACAGTGCTTAGTTTGTGACTTTTTAACAGACCATTATTTTTAATTATTAATGTGCCTGGTGTAATGCCAGTTACAAAATGCAAGATCAATGCACAACAACTGAGTAAAACAGATATCTATGAAAAGAGTATAGTTATCAATTAAAAGTATTGTTTGGATTTTTTTGTTTTTAATCATTCTTCATTGTACAGCAGATTCCACTTACTCTCACTATGGTTAACCACTGCTCTGGATCAGGGCTAAAGGGTTTCCGGTTTTCCTGTTTATCACTTCCCCAATTCTTGTACTGTATGACAACTTTTCCAGATGGAGCTTTTGTAAATTTAAATGCATGAGGGTTTGAAATGTTGTGAAGCATGGTTAAAAAGGGTGACATCCACTCCTTAAGAGCAAATGCATGCTCAACCTCAACAGCCTTTGGAGATGGGGTGTAACATCTCTCAAAGGATGTCATGAGCACTGTAAAATAAGAAGAGAAAAAATTTTAGATAATGGATCAATCCATATTGTCAGGAGAGGATACACATTGATCAATTAAAGGGTTAAAACATAACTGTGATCATACTAATTATGCACATCAATCCAACTGTAATATTAAGGTCAAATGACACATGGTCAAATTTTAAAGAGAAATTCATAGCAATTATTTTCCAAGCTAAAAGTTGATTGCAGTCATCATAAGTTACAGTACCTTTGAAGGTTCTTGTGTCCTTCTTTGCCAGAAATTTAGAAACCTGTGCGACATAATTTAATATGAATATGAAGTAAAAAAACCATAGGTGTAAAATTAGAACTTTGAAGCTGACAACAAAGTGTCATCCTAGCAGTGCAACTATAGCTGAGTGTTTCAGCAGCATTAATGAAATAGTTCTGCCATTTAACTATTCTTAATGAGAGTTTTCTTCTCAACTTAATATAATAAAAACGAAACTCTGATTCTTACTTGTTAAACATCTGGTTAACAGCTTCATGAGTGTGTCCAACCATTGAGAAATTTAGTTTCATCTGCAAAGATGAAAATTGAATTTGAAGGAATTTCATTGCTCATACATGATCAGGGCAATCCCCACTTCAAAGTACAGTAAAATTGTGACATATTTATGTTTAAATATTTAACTAACTGTTCATTCAAATGTACCACTTTTAAAATTTCATTTTCTTATGAGAAGTACAACGTACCTCAACAAGATGTCAAGCTTTGCAAGAAGAGCTAAAAAGTTTAGCACAAATTGATTTTTATTCTCCCTCCAGCAGTTGTCCATTTGTAGGCAAAAGGTATCTGTCAGGTCCTCTCCCATGCTTTGTAATTCCAGGAGTAACATATTTATGGTGAGGTTTGCATCATGGGGAAATTGGAATACATCAAAATAGCCTTTAGGCTACCTCCCATGGTTTAACACACCAGTCATATGAGTTTTGCAGTTTTCTTGCACGAGCATATGCATGTACAATAACAACTAATCATGGAAGAAGAAGCTTTGCCTGATCCATGCCATCTTGTGCAATACATGCATATTATTGTGAATACTTCTTAGCTTTGTCTTTTTGATGGTAATACACTTTTCTCTCTTTCCTATAAAAATATATATCACATGACAGATATATCAGGAAGCAGTCATCAAAAGTTATGTCTTAAAAGAAATTAGTACTTATATTTGAAGATCATTATGGAAATCAAACAGCTTGTGTAAGCATTTTTGCACATCCTCATCTTGAGGTTTTCTCTTCTCCTCACCCAATGCCGTGCAGCAGTCACATCTTGTAAATTGGTTTACCTGCAGTAAAGTACTATCTATTTATGCTGAAAACTAACACTTCTTGTGGAAGACAATCATCTAACCATTTTTGAGATATTGCTTTGCTACAGTGCATATATTTTGCAGCTTCAGGTTAAAGTAATCAAAGCAGTGAAAATAGATTTTAAGTCCTCATTCGGAAATCTGAAGGAGCAGGGAAATTCCATCTGATCCAGGGATTTAACATAAATCCTTCTTCTCGACATCTTAATAGATCAGTCATGCATAAGCATCCAAAAATAATATTACAAATACTAAAGTTTCACATCACCTTGGGTATTTTAACAAAAGGAAACACATTCCTCAAAAGATAGCAAAATGTACTGTAATGAATAACATTTTCATCCTCATCTTTCCTCTCTGCTTTCAAATATCCATAAATGATGGTTTTGTCCAGAAAGCTTGGAAGATGCAATGCACGGGTATCACACATCTTATCACCAATCTGTGTTAAATGAGAAAGATTTACAGCATACAAACAAATAAGTTTAGCTTTTAGTTTGTAAGAACCAGTGCAATTAATATTGTGAGGGATACTTAAACAAGTTAGCATTGAAGGCTCACATCTAGTCATGCCAAATGAAATTCAAGCCTTTTTATTATATTATATTGTTTTATAAGGAGTGGGGGGGGGGATGCAGCCCACATTTGTCAGTATAAAAACTATGTTTCAATGGAGAAAATATTTAAATAAAGCTTAAAGTCAATCATTACAGTCAGTACCCTTTTGAAGTATGCTTCCATCCAAGTTTCAGCCATCAGCATCTTGTGTGTGAGGTTCTTGCTTCTTGCATGTTGATGCTTGCAAAGCTTTGACACCAGTGTGAAAATTTTGAAAAGTTTCATTTAAAGCTGCTGTGCTAAGTCCAAGAACCATGTAATATACTGTACTGCATACTTTGTATTCACCTGGATAAAAAGGGATGCTTTGTAGGTCAATAGAAAACTAACATGAGGTATACCTTCCAACTCTCACAGTTTGACCATGAGACTCACAGTTTGGGATGCCAACTCACAGTCTAAATCTCACAACTCTATATCTCACAGTGAATTAAAAAACCTTGAAATTGTCAAACCATTCCAAAAGGTATGAAGGA